CTCTCTCTCTCTCTCTCTCTCTCTCTCTCTCTCTCTCTCTCTCTCTCTCTCTCTCTCTCTCTCTCTCTCTCTCTCACCCTCAACTTCTACACCCACGTCCTCTACCTCATCCACGAAGACCACCACCACCTCCACTGGCTATGCTTAAGTCCCAGCCTGGCTATGAAGGCTGGACTATGGTGCTGCCCTCAGCAGCGCCCTGCTCCCTCTCAACGCCTGCGTGCACCTGCACCTTAGCGCTAGTGCAGCAGCACGAGCAGCGCTGCCGCATCGACACGCGACTACCCGAATGTCGTCACAAAGTGGCCTGGCTGGTTCGCTGCCTGGCCTGCCTCGTGTGTGCCTCGTAGCTTTAGGTTGAGGCAAAGTATCTGCGCCCAGGCCCGTTCCGACAGTGGCCTGGGCCCGAATTGGTTAGACATGCCCAACCACCCAGGCACAAACGTGCAGTGTTCCCTGCTTCAACCACGTTGCTGGGTGAAACTTGAAGGCTCACGAATATTTCCGATTCTCACGAGTAAAGCGGACGTAACCAACTGGTGCGTGGCAACTGTCTGGTGCCCACCAAGATTTGCAAAAATTGACGAGTTCAGGACATATTGAGATTCAGGGGACCCTGCCTTCACTTAGGGTGGGCGCGTGCCTGCTGCAGGACCTTATACTGAGGGGTAAACCCTCACACCAGCCCTAAAAATCCTGAAAATCCTGAAAACTGAAAAGAGCAAATTTTGCATGAAAACGCACTTTTGCCTTGGGGTTAAAGGCCCTTTTGATCCATTTTTTAATTTTTTTTTTACTTTTTTTTTGCTGTTGGTTTATTTGGTGTCCACTCTATGGACTGGTGACAAGTCTGGCTTAAAAGGTGTGGGAAGTTTGTTATAATGATCCCGAAAAAACCCTAAAAATTTAGGGCTCTGTTAACCGCTTCTCACTCTCACATATGTACCCCAGATTCTGCATCCGGCTGCTTTCACGTCCCTAGAGTTGTTGCTTTTTTTATTTTTTTTGTTGTTCTTTTTCTTTTTCCATTTCGGAAGAGAAGCAGAAAGAAAACACAATGGGACCCAGGCTCCGCAACTTTCCGTGCGCAGTGAAATTCAGGGTCGGCAAAAACAGGCTCGTGCAAGGAATTTGAGCGCGAGCGACAGACAGAAATCCAAGTTGTGAAATCACGAAGTAGTCCAGATAGTCATGTACCAAGCAGAGAGCACAATGCACCAGGATACCATCCACATAAGAGCAATACAATGCACTCGTGTGCCAATGTCAACGCTCTCTGGCCACACCAACACAGTATCCAATGCCGCTCCTACAGTCTGAAGCCCAGCGCCCAGCCTACACTACTGAATGACGACAATGCTGCTTTCTCATTCGTTTGCGGCCACTGCATGATGTGTCAGCCTCCCAATGTGTGTGCCCAGAGCACAACCAACCGGGGCCCTGGGCTCAACTGTGCAGCTCAGCTGTTGCTTCCGGATAGAGCCAGGAAAGGCTCACGTTGCTTTGTAACCAACTGGCGTGCTGCAACTGTCTGATACCCCACATATGGAAAAACGTCGATAGGAGGCCGCACGTGGATATTCAGGCCCACCTTCACTTAGGGCGGGCACAAGGCTTGCTGGGGCCCACATCCCAGAACACTTGTATTTCTGATAAGGGCCCCGCGAGGGCTCATTCCTCGCATTTGGGGGTACTAGTGGTTTAAGCTGGTTGTGGTCGACCGATCTGGTTTGTATGTGAGAAAGGGTTGTATGGGGGGATGTAATGCATTCTACTGTTGAGGAGGCTAGCTAGTAGGATGGAAATAGGGCAATGTACTAATGGAGATGGTGGCTCTGTCGGGGTAAGTCTTCTTGGAGCATGGTCAAAGGGAACAGTAGGAAGAATCTGGGCCGATTATCACAACTTACGTGCAGGGGGGTTGGATGTATCGGAACCATGGCTATGGTGGCTGATTGGCAGTCCGTCCAAGGCTCTGCTGAAGCTCTTTGACTCGTAGGCCTACAAACGGACGAGGCCAGAACGACGCTGGTCGGTGCTGGGGTCTGGTTATGCTCCCCTGTAACCCGATTTATACGGGAGCATGAGACCTCGTAAAGAGATCTGGGGGGTGTCGAGGGTGGAAGGCACTCTTGTGGCTGTTGGTGGGCTGGTATCTAGGCGACACTGGCCGGAGCTGCGGCGGGTCATTCCGCTGTCTGGGGTGGGTCGTGCCACCCTGTAACCTGGCAGTTGAGGGGTGTGAGGCCTGGTTGAGACTAGATCGAGGATGTGGGGGATGGGGCGGGCTTAGGGCTGGGCCGCTGATGGGCGCCATGGTATTTTGGTTATGGAGTGAAACCCCTAAGGAATAGAAACAAAGTTGATTGTTCTCGGTTGCTTTCGTTCGATGCCAGAACAACGCTGGCCGGTGCTGGAGTGTTGCCCAGTAACCTGCTGATGCAGGAGCGTGAGGCCTGGTAGAGAGATCTGGGGATGCTTTGGGGCGGGCATTCCAAAGAATAACCAAGGGTTGCTGCTGGGACGACACTGGTCGGAGCTGGGGCGAGTCATGTTGCCCTGTAACCCAGCAACGTGGCGAAGAGCTCGACAGGGAGTAAGACAGTATTGAAGAGCTTTATAAGGGTTTGGCAGGGATTCCAAGGGCTTTCAGCATTCGAAGGGCGTCTGTGGTGGTCTGTTGCATGAGTAGTTCTCCCCATGATTTATGAATTACCTCAAGTGTTCTCAGATTGTTCTCAGCCGAAGCCGGGCGCCCAGTATCTCACATGATTTGTATAATTCTGTATGGGACACTGGGCCCGGTTCCCAGCACGTGCTGCTCCCCACGAATAGACTGGAGCATTTATTTCTGAAAAGAAAACAAAAAAAAGGTTAGCACTTCTTCCAACTGATATAGAAACTGCAGAACCTCCTTCCAGGAAGAAGAAGTCTAAACCTGGAAAGTGGGATCCTTTTCCTGCTCAAGGCTCCTCCTGTATGTTCCTTGGATAGAGGGGAAAGATCTTTCCCAGAATCTATGCTTCTGGCAGGCGATCGTTGTACAGATGAACTGTCGCAAGGTACAATCAACATACCAGTCTTCAAATTTTCACAGACTTCACAAGATCTGCTCTTGTGATTTGCAAGGTCTGGTCTTAGATTTGGAATACCTTGACCATGGTTAAGGATCCGCTCTTGAGACTTGCAAGACGCGGGCTCTGGAGTATGCAATTCAGGGCTCAAGGATTTAAACTTCAAAGAATCGGTTTCTCGAGGACGATGATTTTGCACTTACTATATACATCAATGTGTACCTGTTTCGAAGAATTTGTCTAGCCCAAGAGTCTTCAGCATCTGCTCAACATTCTCCCGCGGCGCATTGGTCACAGCAGCCCGATGAAGTCCCTTCTCCTCGACCCAGGCAGTAAGGCGAAGCAACCCATCCACAGGCACAAGCTTCATTGCAAGTTCTCTGAATTTCCTCTCCTTGGCATCACAGAACTTTGTGTGCTCCTCTGGTGGCCATTCCGGAAAGAGGTCCCTCACGATGTCGGGATTGTGGCGTCCAGCAATGACTCTGAACAAGAGCATGCACACACATACACACACGCACACACAGAAGATGACAACAACACAAGAAAACAACACAAGAAAACAACATAAGGATGAGGAGAGGAGGGCTCTCTCTCTCTCTCTCTCTCTCTCTCTCTCTCTCTCTCTCTCTCTCTCGTGCAATTGAGTGTGCATTCCATCAAATGCTTGCTCTGAGCACACGAGCTTGAACACGCTTTGGATTGGATGCACATTCGAATGCATGACCAAATGCACAAAGAGAAATAAGATAATAAGGAGGCGGCCATATCTCCCTCTCCCCCCCCTGCCCTCGGCCCCACCCTTTCTCTCTCTCTCTCACACACACACACACACACTATGTTTTTCTCCGTGTGGTCTATATCTTTCCTCCTTTGATGTTTTTCTTACTTCAAGCCTGTCTGAAGGAGCACCTCTAAGCAGTCCTTTAATTTCTTTCTTACTTCAACCTCTAGTACCTTTGCCATTTCGTTTCGGCAAGTTTTAGCCT